TAATGGTTTCTGAAAAGTAATTTGAGTGAAAGTAGTTTATTTGTTTTAATTATCATCTTGGAAATTTTCTAAATCGAAAATAAGTGGGAAAGATGAATGCTTATGATTGGTTAAAAAATAATGGTGGGAATGAGAGAGTTGAGAAGGTTGTCTGGTTGAGAAGAAAAAGGTGGAAGCTGAGAGAAGATCAAAATCGAGAAGATTAATACCTCTTTTGAGTCTGCATAGTCCACGAGATATAATTGAGAAAGAAAGGAGAGTTTGTGAATAAAGAGTACCGGTCAAAAGAGGCTTGGGTTTGTGTTTTCGGAGGAGTAATTTGCTGGTATGCGGTTTGGATCGATGCTGAGAACGGGAAAGATTTGATGGTAACCGGACATAATCAAACAAGGAAGGAACTGTGGTTTGAGCGAGAGGAGACATCATTGGTGTAAAAATAAAGGTCAGTCAAATAATTTGAATAAAAGAAAATTTTAAGATATTCTAAAGATAAAATCAAATATAAGCATACGAACTAAGATTACAAGTTTAAAAGAGTTATTTTTTCTGTGAATAAATTATATTTTTATATGGTCATAAAAATTTTACATCAACACAGAATTAGATCCAGACCAAGAGATCCAGATACGAATAGAAATGGCAAGGGCAGCATTCTTAAAATTCAAACAATTGTTCTGTGACAAAAATCTGAATATTGCGCTGAGACTGAGGTTTGTTGAATGTTACGTCTGGTCGCAATTATTGTACGGGGTAGAAACATGGACACTAAAAGCGCAAATAGTTAAAAAGATTGAAGCCTTTGAACTTTGGATATACCGGAGAATGTTGAGAATCCCATGGACTGCCAGGGTCACCAATGAGGAAGTGCTGAGAAGAATGGGTCGAGTCAAAAAATTGTTGAGAACGATAAAAGTACGCAAGACTGCATACCTTGGACACATACTAAGAAATAATAAATATAGTCTTCTGCAGGTCATCATGCAGGGTAGAGTCGATGGCAAAAAGGGAATAGGTAGAAAAAGGAAGTCATGGCTGCGAAATATTCGAGACTGGACAAACATGACTGTAGACGAATTATTCCACGTTGCAAAAGACAGAGAAGCTTTTAAAAATGTGGTCGCCAACCTCCGTTAATGGGGACGGCATAGGAAGAAGAATATGGTCATTTTTTTAGTAGATATTAATACAACAGATCAATAGATAGTTTGTAATTAAAATTAAATTTAGAGTATAGGAGTTTGTTGAGAAAGATAATTGCCCACAAAAGTTATTTATTAATATTCATCGTATTGCTTATTAAAAATAAATAATAATTTGTGTGCATATTTATGTTGTTTTAATGTTAGTTCCGTTTCCTGTTCTATCCCGATTATGAACAACTAGAAGATACTGAACCCACTAGAAGAGATATATAAAGTAAACTGATTAAAATAATAATTAACAAAAAAAGACACCCTGAGAATTTTTAATAGTAATTGAATTGTATGACTCTGCATAAATTAGTGAATTTATAATAAAACATCATAAAGCAGATCACAACAATTTATATATATATATATATATATATATATATATATATATATATATGTATATATATATATATATATATATATTTATATATATAACAATATAATATATTAAATTCCGTTATATAATTAAACTTAGAAATTAAACAGTAGAACAAATCCAAGGCCATACGAAGTAATCACTCATGCTCACAAAGATTTACAAAATTGGAAGTTAGTGTAGGGAGAAAGTTTAATCGAAGCCTGTTAGATTCGCAGTGCATGAAGGTTTTGTATTAAAAAGTAAAAAGGACTCCCAAATTTTTTTCATACAATACCTGCGACAAAACTAAAACTCCTAGAACAGTACGTATATACAGCAAGACAGGCGTAAGTCTTCCAACATGGTAAAAAATATATACTTCAAGACTGTCCGTAAGTGTTGCAAAAAAAAGATTTAACCGTATTATGTTCAAAAAGATAATTTCTTCTGTGTATCAATAAGAATACCTTAAATGCCATCTACACTCTCGATTGAAGTTCTTCGAACGAAGTGTTGAAGTGAAGTTATTCGAGGCGTCTTGACTCTCTACATACTCGTGAAGTCGACTTATGTAGTGTGACACTTTGTATTCGTACTTCGGGCCCTTTGACTCGAACGTGAAAAATCGACAGAACGGAAGTGAAACGAGGCTAAGCAAAGTCGCTTAAAGTACCTGTCTTCACTTTAAAATATCCTCCAGTATGTTGAAAATGGATGTTATTATTGTGATTCATCAGATACAGAAAACAAATAACTTTATAGCAATTTATAATTCCTATGTTTTGTTAAATTTTAACAATAAATAAAATTGTTTGATCTTATTAACTACATATTAGAAATAAAAAAGTTTTTAATAACTGATGATCTTTCGTACGATTAGGATGATTTTCCGACTGGTTAGTGTTTTTTAAGTAATTAAAAGCTTTTGTGAAGAAATGGAGACGTCCATCAGCCACCCAATTCACTCCATAAAGTTTCGTTAACAAAGTTAATATGCTTTTTATTTTATCTGGTTTTAAACATTTCCCCAAACTCAATGGATGTAACTGGACTTGAGTAATATTCTTTCCTTTCTTGCAGATGCTCGTGGACTTACAAAGCACATATTTATGAAACGGTTGACCTGTGACATAAACACACCTTCTTGTTTTTTTTTTTTAATAATTATCGGTTCTTCTTCTTCTTCAGAGGCAAATCCACTAATGGATGTTAGCGATCACATTTTCCATTAACTCTCTATTTCTTGCAATATGTATCAGAGATTGTATGTCGTTAATCCCTGTCCATTGCCTTATGTTTCGGAGCCAGGACATCTTCTTGCGTCCCATTCCTCTCTTGCCTTCAATTTTACCCTCGATTATAAGTTGGAGGAACTGGTATTTTTCATTTCGCATGATGTGACCTAGATACGCCGTTTTCCTTTTCTTGATGGTTTCGAAAAGTTGGCGTTCTTGGTTTATTCTTTTAAGGACATCTATATTTGTGATTTTCGCTATCCATGGTATTTTTAGGATACGGCGATAAAGCCACATTTCGAAAGCTTCCAATCTGTTTATATCCCTCGTTTTGAGTGTCCAGCCCTCTACGCCATATAGCAGCACTGACCATACGTAGCACTTAGTAAACCTTAGTCTCAGTTGAAGATCGAACTCAGAACAAGTCTGTACCTTCTTGAATTTTACGAAAGCTTGTCGAGCTTGCTCAATGCGTTATTTTACTTCCCTGTCCGATGCCCAGTCTTCAAAAAGCCACGATCCCAGGTATTTAAATTTACTCACTCTTTCTATGGATTTACTATTCAGTGTTATGGTGGAGTTTTCAAATGCATCCAAGTTTCTGGAGATGATCATGAATTTGGTCTTTTTGGTATTAATCTCTAGTCCTATTCGCTCACTGTATTCTCCGATTATAGTGACAAGTTGTTGAAGATCGACTATGTTGTCACAAATTAAGACACCATCATCAGCATATCTTATGTTGTTGATCAATACTCCATTCACCTTGATTCCCATCTCTGCATCCTCCAAAGACTCTTGAAATATGGCTTCTGAATAAATGTTAAATAAAAGAGGGGAAAGCACACATCCCTGTCGAACGCCTCTTCTTATATGTATGGGCTTAGATATAGAATTGTCTATTTTTAGCTGTGCCGTTTGATGCCAGTACAAGTTTTCAATGCATCTTATGTCTTTTTGGTCTATATCAACTTTCTTGAGAATCTGCATTAACTTGTGGTATTGGACACGATCAAACGCTTTTTTCTAATCTAAAAAGCATAGGAACACATCCTTCCTCTGATCGTAACAATTTTGGACCAGTACCTGTGTTGCTACTATTGCTTCTCGTGTTCCTAAACCTTGCCTAAACCCGAACTGTGAATCACCGATGTCCCATTCACATTTTTTGTATAATCTTTGATGTAGTATTTTTAAGAATATCTTTAAAGTGTGACTCATCAGGCTAATGAGTCTGTGATCCTCACATCTTTTTGCATTGACTTTCTTGGGCAGGGGAATAAAGGTAGAGCGTAACCACTGTTGAGGATAGCAGCCAGTTTCATAAATTAAATTAAATATTTTGTGTAGTGCTGAAATTCCCCTTTCATCTAGTAATTTGAGTATTTCTGACGGGATCTCATCTGGTCCAGGTGCCTTATTGTTTTTTGAATTTAATATTGCTTTTTCTATCTCCTCTTTGGTGATTGAAGGGCCAGTCAGCTGGTCGTCTGTATAAACTTCACTCATGGGTCTTTCGTCATGGAAGAGCTCCTGGATATAATTTTCCCATATATCAATTTTCTCCTTTTCACCCAGCACTATCTGGTTATCCTGATTAACTATGGTAGTTGGTCTTCGTTTTCTGTATATTCCAGCAGTCTCCTTAAGCTTTTTATGTAAATTACGGTCGTCGTGTTGTCTTTGTAAATGTTCTAGATCGATACATTGTTGCTTAAGCCATTCATTTTTTGCTATTCTTATTTTTGCTTTTATTTGCCTGTTAATGTTTTCATACATATTGCTGCCATCTTGGTTATCGGTTACATGGTTGAAAACTAAAATGCCAGGATCCAGGATTTTTAAGAACTTTTTGCACCTTAAAAAATATTTGAGACTGCTATCTTTTGTACTTTAAATTAAACTAAAACCCAAATTTTAAGAACTCAAAATGAAGGTAGCCTAAAAATAATTTTGTTGCTTGACCAAACCCCCACCAGGAATATTCTAGGTACGCCACTGCTAAAATATTACCCGACTTAGCAGTTGTCAAAGAGTTTCCAGGTTGTCAGTAATAATGTTGTCTGCAAACCGTTATCTGTGCCTTGTAAAGCCTTATCTAAAATTAATCGTGAATATAAATATTAAACAATAATGGGGACAGTACGCAACCTTGGCAGACTCCTCGTTGTGTTGTCTGTTATATATCTAGAATACTTAAAAATATTATATTTTTAGGTTTGTCTACAGCAACATTGGAAAGTTTTCCCAATTCTACAACCTTTACCATCAGAAAACGGCGACAAAACAGGTAAAACGAAAAATAAATTATTTGCGTTTATTGGTATGTATACGTTTAATTTATTTTTTGTATAAGAACTTTACCCACTTGCTATCCAGCATTAAACGTCCGCTGTTAAACATACGATTCATCCCCTGTTTACACTTCTATTTATCCTGCGCCACGTTCGTCTAATTTTTATTGACTTTTTCATTACGCTGGTAACCGTCCGTTTATTGTAAAATGGTCTTCCCGTCTTCTTGTAACTTCTCTTACCCCCTAGGGTGTCAGATTTTTTGTTCTGTTGGTGTCTATTTTTCTTCTTCATTATTTTTTATTTCTCGTTATCAATTTCTTTTCTGTGTATTTCATCCCTTTGGCTTGAACTGCTTAAAGATTCTTTTGAGTGTCTCTGGATTGTTGTCGAATTTTGTTATCTTTCTTTTAACATTGTTTATAAATGACAATGGGTAATCGTTTTTTATCAAAAACCTTAGTAGGTGTTTTTCTTCCTGAAACAGTTTTTTATATGCGGTTTACCCCTCAAAAGACGCTTAGAAACAGAATATACCGACGAAAATTCTTTTTGCATTTCTAATGCACCAAACCTTTTTTATTCGATTCTATATATTTTGCAAGATGAAATGTATTTTTTTTTTTAATTTTTACAAGTGGGCCGGCAATTGTTTTTAACAAATAACTTATACAAACAAGCAATTTCACCGAATTGCTTTAGAATTAATTTTTTTTAGGTGTACCTCATTAAAATAAACACTTTTTCTTTCTTGATAATTTTTCGAAAAATGCTCCATTTTCGAGTTATTTGCATTTTTTTGTTGTTTGGGATTTTTTTTCTAAAAAACTACTAAATGAATTGCAATTCTAGAAATAGCTTTATAATCTTTAAACCGTCAAGTACAAGTTAGAATATTTTGACAAGGATAATTTTTTTCTATCTTGCTAAAAACGTGGACCCAAATATTTCGAATATGCCTTTCGAGCAGTCTACCGCTAACTGTGTACAGCGGTTGCGGCGATACAGGCGTGCGGCGCGTAGAAATATTTGTTTAAATTTAAAAAATTAATTCAATACAAATATTATGTACAATTTATTAAACAAAGATATTTCTAATTATTTTTATATAGACATATTATAATTAAAACAATTAAAATTAATTTTTTACAATGCTATAATAATGTAATTTTTCTTTTAATATACGTGGTGACTATATTATTGAATGTTTTATTACAGCGAAAAACATTAAGCAATATACAATTAATTTTCATTGAAATATATAATAAAATAAAAATATAATATTAATTTTACATCGTTTTCATTGTCCATAACCTCAACCGCTGTACACGCTTAGCGGGATACTTTCGAAAGGCATATTCGAAATATTTGGGTCCACGTTTCTAGCGAGGTAGAAACCATTAATCCTTGTCAAAATAGTCTAACTTGTACTCCACGGTTTAAATAGTATAAAGCTATTTGTAAAATTGCAATTCATTTATTATTTTTGTAGAAAAAAAAATCCCAAAAATCACTAATTAAGGCATTTTAAAAAAAAATGCAAATATCTCGAAAAGCAAGCATTTTTCGAAAAATTATCAGGAAAGAAAAGTGTTTATTTTTATGAGATACACCTAAAAAAATTGATTCCGAAATAATTCGTTGAAATTGCTTTTTTGTATGTTATTTGTTAATAACAATTGCCGGCCCACTTGTAAAAATAAAAGAAAAAATACATTTCATCTTGGAAAAATATATAGAATCGAATAAAAAAGGTTTGGTGCATTAGAAATGCAAAAAGAATTTTGGTCGGTTGATGCTCTGCTTATAGGGGTAAACCGCTCGCCTATTATTAGAGCAGGTGTTTTGGACTCCACCACTATCATATAATGATTTGATAATTTCTGTTTTGATGTTTACGTTGTGGTTTGAATTGTAATTTAAATATTTCTTGATGTGGTTTCCTCTTATGAAATCGTTGATTACATATATTCTATTATCTTTAATCTAAGGTAAAAATAAGTATCGTCTGTGCAAAGTAGCTTTATGATAGCTAATACCTTTAGTTGGATTATTTTTGTCAATGTGTCATACCTCCCTTATTTGCCCTTTATTATATTAAAAGTTTTATTCAATAGCGTATTAGTCAAAATACTGGTGATACCGAACCTCACTAGCATATTGTTAAAATTGGAGTCTATTTGTGCTAGTTTTAGGAAGAATTGTTGTAAGTTTTAATAAATGTTGTTGTGTCGTGTGTTAGAGGCTGTATCTATCCTAGGAGGAACTTTGACAGTCTGTTTCAAAGAAATATTATGCTTCAACAAACTGGTCTCAGAACCAAATTTTTTTTATTAATTTTTGGGACTTCGTGTAGGTATGGTGGCCCGCTTTAGTGTAGTTTTAGTGTTTTCTTCACTCAAGTATTGTATTACTTACACTTATACGGGCAAGGTGGTTAAAACGGGCCCGAGACGCCAATTCTTTTAACATAAACTGATAAAAAATTTTTATTGAATTTTATGCATCACTGAATTTGATTAGAAGTCTGTTTCCTTTAACATAGTTATAAGCTATTAAAAATATTCGTTATTATTTTTAAAATTATTGCGTCGAAAGAATTTTGTCACGTAAAGGGGCAACAAGGACCCAAACGGCTTTTATGATTCCGGAAATCCAATAATAAAGTCTAAACGTGAAACAAACAATGTCAACATCTCTTTGATGTGAACATCAATAAAATGCTTACAATAGGTGTTATATCTATTCTATGTAAATAAATTTTAAATACTAATAATCATTGTTGAAATACTATAATATTTTTAGCTAGGTACCTATACATATTTTGAAATAAATGCATCTGCTATCAGTCGTTTGATATCGATTTTTGTGTCGACAACTTAGCTCCTAAAATTATATTGAATTACAGTAAAACTAACTAGTTTGAATAAAATGTCTCAAAAACCATATCAGCTGCAGAACTGCAAGATATTGCAAATGATTTATCTGATTGCGATGATGAAGAATCTCCTAAAGTAGGTGACATTGAAACTGACTCTGTAATTAGAAATTTTTTTTTTGAAAGAAAATGAAGGGAATAATCAGCTAGTAGTATTGAGTGATAATGAAGAAGAATGTGTAGCTACAAGTCAGATTTCAGAGTGTGTTATTCTTGAAACTAAGGATGGAATTAACTGGAAGAATCAACCACAACCGACAGGACGTATGCAATCCTACTTCATAATAAAAAGCAAAATGTACAAAGTAATGTTAGCCCCTGGTCAAAGTGTAGATGATCCTGTTGATTCCTTTTGTTTGTTTGTAGACAAAAAAATTGTGAACGAAATAGTGAAGTGTACAAATACAGACGCCTAAAAAGTACTGGGGATAGAGAACTGGAACTATTGTGACTCTCCAAAGCTATATGCCTTTATTGGACTACTACTAACTGCAGGACACCTGAGTGCCAACATCCATAAAGTAGTTATACTTTGGAGGATACGTTTTATGGACCTACTATATTTGAAGCTACCATGGGGTTAAAACGATTTAAAAATTTGCTAAGACTTGTTTGATTTGACCACAATGACACGAGATCTGAACGAAGTAGAAACAACAAATTAGCCGCAATACGCGAAGTGTGAAATCAAGTCAACCAAAATTTTCAGACATACTATTTATTAGGAAAAACATAACGGTAGATGAGCAACTTGTTTCGTATCGAGGTAGGTGTCCTTTAGAGCAGTTTATGCCTTTAAAGTCAGATAAGTAAGACAAAAAAAATATGGTGGGACTGTGACTTGGAAATATATTACCCTTTAGGCGAAATACTATATACAGGAAAAACTAAAAAAAACAGTAGCCAAAGATCTTGCATCTCAAGTTGTAAAACAACTCATTAAACCGTATTATAATACCAAGAAGAATGTGACATGCGGTAACATAACTATTTGACTGATCTTGCTCTTGCACATGGAAATGAGAAATTTGTTCCTCGAGAATTCCTACCAAACAAGAACCGTTTAGAGAAATCTTTAATTTTCGGATTTAATCCAAAAGCATCTTTTGTTTCTTATATGGTACCATAATAAATTCCTTAAATACTCTCTAATATTAAAGTAATAAAAATTTTTTTGGTACGCTCTTGGGCTATATATAATATTTGGTGTCTGTGTTTACACTCGAAATTCTTCCCCCGAAAAACTTCTCCAAGAAAGAATTTATGATTATATTTGGTTTATCATGGTTGATCAAGGCCATTTACGATACGATAAGAAGCAAGTTTGACAATAATTTTGGGTTATTCGGTTGCTTGGCCCGGTATGAGGGGTGGAACGCAAGACTAGATGCCGGTACAACGAAGATCGATCGAACGTCGAAACTCAGGTTTGAAAGGTTGGGCATTGAAACCAGACGTGTTTAGTTTCTAGTGAAAAAATTGGCAGATTTGTTGAAAAAAATTGATTTTTACTCAATGTAATGTATCGATTTTAAACAAGTAATCACTGTTTTTTATTTGTAAACCGTCTCTCATCTGAGATATTTGGAAAACAGCATTTACAACCACTCTGAAAAGTACCCACATATGTTCCAGTCTTTTAAGAAGTCTAAAGATTCTGTCCAGTGCCAATTAAAACCTCAAATTATTGTCCTAAGAAGCCGTTTTAAAATACTTTTCGTAGTTTGGAGATGAATTTGTTCATGTGGCAAAGAGTATAATTTTAGTTCCCAACCACAGAAATTTAAAGTAAAAGTAACAGTTAATAAAACCCAGGTAACTTTTTTTGTTTGGACTTTAAAAGTACAGATAGACATTTTTTTGAATAATAATTGCTATCATAACAATTTAGGAAATTTTAATATTTAAAACTGTAGATGTTAGGGCGTGGCCGAGCTTGCTGTCATAGTAATTGGTCTCAGTTTTAAGATTAAGTATTGACATATGACGGTTAGCACTATTTTTGACATTTGGTAAATATCCAATCATATTTGAGATTTATGTTTTGTTTTTGAAGTT